AGAACCCTGAGATCACGACCCGAGCCGAAGGCAGCGGCCCAACCCGCTGAGCCACCCAGGCGCCCCAACTTTTTGTTATTTCTATAGTTGATAGTTGCCTCACTTATAATTAGCTTCATTTTCTATGTACAAATATAATTCCTTTGTTTTATATATGCAAATACATAATTCTTCCCCCAACTCTGTAACAGAAGTATGAAACTCTTCCTAATACGGTAAACAGGTCCGATAACCCACCAGCTTCATTTTTTTTTTTCTTGAAGATATCCCTCCTGGTGCCCTCAGCCATACTGCTCCAAACTTGTCTGGCTGATCTCTACGTGGGCTGTGCAGTTGCACCACTGGGACTTTGCTTCACCGTGATGATGGGAATTCTCATCATTCTCTCCACCCGTCAAGGTTCTGGGTTGCAAGTAAAGAAGCCAGCTCTCACTGATTAAGCAGAAAAGTTGCTGACAGATCATTTGGCTTATTTGCTGCACTGTGAGGAGTTTCACAGCTCTGTTGGAGAGTTTGAGGAAGAATTGGTGATTAGTACATTGCGAACATAGCAAATAAAGAGACGAGGAGGTGCTTATCAACTCCAGGAAAAACAGAAAGCTGAACCAAAAAAGAAACAGAACCTGGTACACTGGACTCCCCAGTGCAGGTCTGATGGCGGAACTGCCCCTACTGCCACTGATACTAAATGCCAGTTGGTACCTCGGCCATATCCGTGCCAACAAGTTGACCTTGGAGCCCATCATGGCTGCCAGGGCCATAACCACGATACAGCACATGCTTCATACCTCTCCTCTGCCAAAATACAGCATGGGTGCACTCATCCATGGAGTCTAGGTCACGGGCCCCAGCTACAGGGAAAGATTTGAAGTCAGTACTTTTCAGTTCCCGTGGTTGGGTAGGTGTTTGGTTTTTTCCTCTGCACTTGCAAAACTCGAAGTAAGGTAACAGCTGAAATACTGAAAGCTATTTGGGAACGGAGGCAAATAAGAACAAGAGACAATCACATATTCTATCACTTGTTCCACTTTCTTAGTTGACTCTCATTTTCGTAGGGCACCGTCTCCACGAGTTTCCTTGAATAGTGATACAAAGGCGTGTGTACGTGCATGCGTGCGCACACACAGAGCTTTGGAAAATTCACACCTACAGAGGTGCCTTTATGCTATTGTTTTGCTTGAATGACAATTACAGAATTCTCGCCCGGGAATTAATTTCCCTTGGAAATTTGAAAGAGTTGCTCCATTGTCTTGTGGCTTCTGGTGCTGCTTTTGTGAAGTCCAGTGCCATTTTTTATCTGATCTTCTAGATGTGGCCCCTTTTCTCTTTGTTGGCTTTTGGCAAGTTCTATCGCTGGAGTTTTGAAAGTTCATGATGACGTCCTGTAGTACACACTTTACTTTTGTTTAGTATTACTATTACTATTACTTCTATTACTCATTGTTGAGTTCTACTCAGATACTCTTCATACTCATTGTTGAGTTCTACTATTACTTCTATTACTCATTGTTGAGTTCTACTCAGATACTCTTTATACGGAGGAAGTTCCTTCAGTTCTAGAATTTTTTTCCTATAGCTTGGTAACTTCCTTTTCTTCATTTTTCTCTCTGTCTTGAGTTCCTCTGAGGTGGATAGCAGGAGTCCTGAACTGATCCTCCAGTTTTCTTATATTTTCTTTCTTATTCTCCATCTCTTAAGTCTTTTTGTTATATTTCATAGAAATTCACTTTTCAATCGCTAGCTTTATTCTTTTTTATTTTTTAGATTTTATTTACTTATTTGAGAGAGAGAGAGACAGAGAGTGAGAGAGAGCACGAGAGGGGAGAAGGTCAGAGGAAGAAGCGGACTCCCCATGGAGCTGGGAGCCGGATGTGGGACTCGATCCCAGGACTCCTGGATCACGACCTGAGCTGAAGGCAGTCGCTCAACCAACTGAGCCACCCAGGCGCCCTCTAGCTCTACTCTACTGAGATTTTTGCTTCTACTATTAGTCGCTGTTTTGTTTGGTTTTTGGTTTTTTTTTTTAAGATTTTGTTTTTAGGGGCACCTGGGTGGCCCAGTTAGTTAAGTGGCTGCCTTCCGCTCGGGTCATGATCCCGGGGTCCTAGGATAGAGCCCACATCGGGTTCCCTGCTGGGCAGAGAGCCTCCTTCTCCCTCTCCCTGCAGCTCTGTTTGTGCTCTCTCTCCATCTCTCTGTCAAATAAACAAAATATTAAAAAAAAAAAAAAAGATTTTATTTTTAAGCAATCTCTATATCCAACATGGGGCTCGAACTCACAACTCTGAGATCAAGAGTCACACGCTCTGGACTGAGCCAGCCACACACCTCTACCATCACAGTTTTTATATCCCAGAGCCTACTGTTGTTTCATGAGTATTTGTTTCTCAACAACCATGTTTATGACTTCTGGCCCATTTTTTGCTCATTTGGGTCTCTGTCTTTCATGCTAGGAACGTCATTCTATGTGGAATGATCCACAGGTGTCCATTCAAACTTAAGAGAGGCACTCAGAGCTGTCTGTGCACAGGTAAAGGCTAGTTGCTTGGCAGGCATCACTGTGAAATGACAAAGCAGCAAGCAAGCTTTCCAAGAGGGCCCCTTCAATGTTAGTCTTTGGGGGTCATTTTTTCTTGTGAGCTCCATTTCCTCAGAGAGAAGTTCTTCAAGGCCCCAACCAGAGAGGGGTATAGATTAGGCTGCCATGTTCTGGGAGCCAAGCAGGGAAAGGTTTCACTGTTTAGTATACCAACTTTCACTGAATCTTTCTGTTCTCAATACAGTGCCTCTTACATTCAGCTGATCCCACGCCTCCTTCCACTCCAGTCTAGGCCTGAGCTGCTCTGGTTCAACGAGGCCTCTGGGAAAACAGGCATCTTCTGCTGGGATGGAGGAGGGAGCCACCTGACTATGTGGGCTGAGAGAGGGGTCTGTTGCTCCGACACACACCTTCAATTTTCCTGCTTCCAGCCCACCCCGCAGTCCGTCATCAGGAACACTGTAGCTCCCACTCTTGGGCCTTTGGTGGGTCCTTGAACACACCTGCCTTCCTCTACCATGACACAGGACACTCAAGACTTTAAGTTTTACATCTCTTTTACCGACCTGCTTTCTGTTTCTCAAAGCATTTGCTCACTCCTCCTCCTCCTCCATCATTTCCTTTTCTGTTTTCTTAAGAATTTTGTCCTTTTTTAATCCCTTACTCTCATTTTAGTGGGCTTTTGAAACAGAACCAGGAGAAACATATGCATTCAATTAGTTGTATTTTCATGGAAGTTCATAGTAACATTTAACAATACATAAAAAGTAAGTTTCCAAAGATAGGCATATAGGAGGTTTTCTGGGGGACTTGGGGGAGGATACCCCTTCAAGGAAACAGTGGTTCCCTCGGGGGTGGTAAGGGGACAATGGGTTATGCCAAGTTGGGGGGCAAACTTTCAACAGTAAGTGGGCATTTCTTAATAAATGAAAAAGTATGAGGGTTAAAAATTATTAAAAGACATCTACTAGGGGAACCTGGGTGGCTCAGTGGGTTAAAAGACATCTACTGAAACAAGACTCAAGATACTGTTGGGGCCTCTGGGTGGCTCAGTCAGTTAAGTATACGACTCTTGGTTTTGGCTCAGGTCATGATCTCTAGGTCATGCGATCGAGCCCTGCATCAGGCTCCACGCTCAGCGCGGAGTCTGCTTGGGATTCTCCCTCTCCCTCTGTCCCTTCCCCTGTGCCCGTGTTCTCTCTCTCCCTCTCTCAAACAAACATAAATCTTTAAAAAAGAGGGGGGGGGGGCGCCTGGGTAGCTCAGTGGGTTAAGCCTCTGCCTTCGGCTCAGGTCATGATCCCAGGGTCCTGGGATCGAGCCCCGCATCAGGCTCTCTGCTCAGCAGGGAGCCTGCTTCCTCCTCTCTCTCTGCCTGCCTCTCTGCCTACTTGTGATCTCTGTATGTCAAATAAATAAAATCTTTAAAAAAAAAAAAAGAGAGAGAGAGAGAATCAAGATACTGCAAATAGGTAAACAGATGTACAGAAGAAACTCCAATCCCCCAACAGAGGTCTACACAATCCATGGTTTTTAACTATGTTCCAGAGTTCTGGGGTTCCACAGAAGCAACCCCAAGATCTTCAGAGGGTGGCAGAAATGGGACAGGATGCTGAGTGGACATCCTAAGCCAGTCTCTGCCTGGACCACAGGGCACTCCGTTTTTTTCAACTCTATAGGTCAAAATTCTGTTTTAATATCTTGAGCTTTTTAAGGAGAGCCACACTAACAAAGAAGTTCAGAAAGTACTGATGAAGATCTAGAGAAAAAGAGGTTGGGGTGGGGCAGGGGTGGGGGGAAGCTTCCAAGGATGACCCCAGGTTGTAAGCCTGGGCTCCTTTCCATCAGAAATGACAGGAGCTGCTCAAGCATCCAGATAGCAAAGCCAATGCTTGGCCAGTATCAGTCTCTGGCCTCAGTTTCTTCATTTGCACCAAGAACGGACTGCATCCATCTCCCAGCGAACATCCAGGGAGTTCTAATGAGCACTGCCTTACTGATACAGCGACTGCCAACTCTCTGGAGAGACAGAATGTCCCTACCTAAGAAGTTTCTGAAAAGCAATGCCAAGTTGTAAGAATTCACTCCATTCCCTTTGGATGGAAGTTTTCATTTTTCTCTCCCCAAAAAGGCCAGCCCAACTCTACCATGACTGAAGCAAGTCAAATAGCTCAGTAATGAGCCCCAGGGTTCCTGGGAGCAGAGCCTCCCCCCTCCCTTCACAGGCAGCAGTATCCCTCTCCTGGGGAGCCAGCCCAGGTCTAGTTCATTTCCCTTTGTTGGCTCATAGCACGCATCTGGGTCATTCTCTTCCTCTGCATGATCTAGTCCTAGATCAGAAGTCAGAGAGCTTCTCCTTTGGCTGGATGGTCAGGGAGGATGGAGTCTGTTCAAATTCTTAAGCTGTCTACAAAATCACATCTCTTCTTTCCCACACACTTGTCTCCTTCACCCAACATACCTCTCTGGAATGGTCCAAGAAAGACCAGCAGCAAAGGCCCCTCTGGCTGGCAGATCAAAGATGCTTTGGAATCAATGAGCACCATTCCGCCCCTGCCTCACTCTGAGCTCCTTATCTGTCAGGGTGGGGGGGGGGGGAAGAAAGAAAGAAAGAATGAATGAATGAATGAAATTTTTAAAGGAGAAAGTCTCCCCAAAACTTCTATGCATTCCTTCACAGGACTTTAGCTCAAAAATAACTGTTTCACTTAGGCTCTCATTTCGCAAACCAGTCACATTCTGCTTGATGGGCCCTTCTCACCACCCAGGTCACCGCCACCCCAGCTCCTTTGGTGGTACGGAAGCAAAGCGGAACATTTCATGACACAGAAATATATAGGTATATACCTCAGATCATGCTTAGTTATTCGTTGGTTCTGTTTGGTTTTTTTGAAGGCAAAGTGTAATGGTCTGTGTCAAGCCTGGGTTCAAGTTCCATTCAAGGGATAGGAAAAGCAGATTCCTGGACTTGAGTTCCCCATTTAAGTACTAAAGCATCATACAGGCAGATTCATCCCTGCCTGCAGAAGAGGGAAAAGGGCGGGTGTGTGGAGAGAAGGGCCTCCCACGACTGCATCCCTGGAGTTTCTTTCCCCCCACTGCCCGCCACTCCAGTAAATAATCTGACCCCAGAGACAGGAAGACACCTGAGCTCCGGAAGCCCAGCAGGCTGGATGCTACGAGTAAGACCCACCCCTTTCTCCAAACCACAGGCCCCGGGCACAGCTACCTCCATAGCGGGAGCCCACTGGGCAAGGCTGGGAGGGCTTCTGAAGAGCAGGGAAGCCTAAATCATTTGCTTCGCCATGTAAAAAGCCCACTGCTGGGAAGCCGTTGGAAAAGGTGTCCCTTCCAAGAATACAGTTCCCAGGGACCGGGCTGGAATTCTCGCTGCTGAGAGGCGAATCCCGGGCAGGATACCCGATGGACCCTGCTGCCGGAGCCCAGGAACGGGGGCTTGGATGGTCTCTTCACCCAGCATTCAGGGGAGGAGAGCAAGGGAAATGTGAGGTCAGCGCCAGGAGCTGCGGAAGAACGAACTTCCACTGCTGACCAATGGAGTTATTAACAGAGGACAAACCCAGCAGTTCGGTTACAGGGAAATGAGACACGATTATAGAGAAAACACTTTCAAAACGAGCAAAGACAAAGCAGAAAACATGATGGAGCCAAGAGAAGGAAGAGTTAGGGAAAGCAAGAAGGAATTAGTCCTCAGGAATTCAGGTCAGGAAACAGGGAGCTGGGGCAGAATTCACAAGAGGGCGGCCGAGGAGGAGGCTCTTCCCGGAGGAAGGTGCATCTTCGGCTCTGGCCCTCCTGCCGCCCAGGACCTCGGGATCCGGGTCGCCCGCCCTCTAGCCCTCTGGGTTCAAGGGCAAAGCTTGGGAGGCAACGCCAGGAACCGACACAGCGCAGGATGCTCCGTCCCGAATCGGGGACAGGGGGAGGGGAGGATGCGCGCGGCAACTGCTGGGTCCCTGACAAGTAAACAGCCTGCCCTGAACAGGCGCGTCCACGTCCGGAGCCCGGCTGAGGGCCCTGCTCATCCCATCAAGGGCGGCAGCGGGACACCCCGGATCCCCGCCCCCCGGAGGCACAAAAGGGATGCACGGAGATCGGGAGAGCATGAACCAGCCCACACCCGGGAATCACAACGCGAGCGCGGCCCCCTGCCTCGGCCTCCCCGGCAGCGTCCGGTCCGCCCCGGGACGCGCGCGCCTCCCCCAGCCCCCACGCCCCTGGACCCCGACCGCCCCAGGCGGACAAAGCCGGGCACTGGGCGGGGCGGGTGTGCGCAGGGGGGCACTGGGACCCCGCAGACGCCCGCACAGGTGGGCTCCGTACCGGGTGTCGGTGCCGGGGGCGGGGCCCGATCTCCCTGGAGACGGTTGCCCAGGGGACGCGGCGGGCGGGTCCCGGAGCTACGCGAGCCTCCCGGCGGCAGCTCCGAGCCCGCGGGGGCCTGAGGGCAGGCCCGCGGCGCGGAGCCGGCAAGCGGGGCAGCAGCGGAGGGGCGCGGCCCGGGGCGGGGCCCGGACAGCGGGCCGGCGCGGGCGGGGCCAGGGGCGGGGCGCCGGCAGGGGGCGGGACCGGGGGCGGGGCCAGGGCCCGCCGCGCCGCGGACACCGTTGGCAAATTCTCCCGCCCCCAGCCAGGCGGAGTGTCGGAGAGCCAGCGACCGCCGCTGCAACTCCTCCGCGACCCCCGCTGCTCCAGTCCGCCCGGCCGGTGGGGCGTGCGCCTGGAGCGCGAGCGCCCCGGCCACCGCGGGACCCCGGGTGGCGTGCGCATGCTGGCCCTGGCTCCCCTCCCGGCTGGTAACCGGAGAACTGAAAGTGCCATTTGCAAAGGGAGCGGGGGCTGGTGGTCCGCCAAACCGCTCTCCCCGCCCGGGTCCCCAGGGAGTCACCAGAACCGACGGGGCACCGGACCTCCGTCACTGATCTGGAGCCTAGGTCACCCGCGTCACTGGCCATCCCGGGGTCTGGGCTCCCATCCGGTGTGCGAGCTGTTCCCCCGCCGCTGGGCCTGCCTTTCCATCGGGGTTCCCCTTACAGGTCGGATTCAGCAGGTAAATGGATCTGCCAGGGGCCTTCGCTCCTACATCCATTCATGACAATGAACCACGTTCGCGCTGGCGGGGCGTTGGTGCAGTAACCCCCCACCCTGCGCCTCGCACAGCGCTCCAGGGAATCCGCGCATCCCCCTGTGAGGTGGGTGCTGTTCCCCGCCACCACCACCCCCCCCCCCCCGGGCTGTAAATGACAAACCCGAAGCTCCAAGGGCAAGCGGTTGACCCTCACGTGCACACAGGTCGCACGCAGCGGCAGGGCCAGCTTCGGAACGACCATGGTTTGGTACCGGACTGCTGTGCTTCTTGCCCCGCGGTGTCCCGTGTCCCTCAGAATGTTCTTTAGGCTCCACAGCTCTAGACTTCAAGCTCTGCCACGGTGGAGCCACAAGAGGAGAAAGAGTGCGAGTGCAGAATCACCCCAGGTGTCCCAGCAGGTGCAGCTGACCCGGGGTGGACGGAAGTGGTCTGAGGACCACTCTGGTAGTCGTCTCCGCCTGCACCAAGTGTTCCAGGCCAGGAGCCCAGGGCGGGGCCGTCCATCCGAGACCCCAGAGCCTCCCTCCGTACCACGCCTCCCGCCCCCATTGCCCTGTGCCCCCAGGGGAGTAAAGGAGAAAAACATCCCTAAGCTCCAGGAATTGTGAAGAAGCCTGAGATGAGAGGACCGGGTCGTGGGGGGGGGGTCCCACCAACCTCGGTGACCTTTGTGTCCCCCACCAGCACCCGTCAACCCTGTCAGGACTGGAGTCCAGCATCCCTGACATCTCAGGGCAGGAGGAGGCATCCCCCTCCGCATCCCAACCCCAATGTCACATACACTCAGAAAGACACACACTCCCATACTCACTCACACACACACACTCCACACTCAGGCATGCGCCAAGTCACTCCCTCACATGCGCCCAGACACACAAGGACGCGCGTTCACGAAGACAAACCCACACACCCACACACAATTATGTAAACTGACACACAATGACACAGACACAGAGACCACACACACACACACACACCCACGGCACACATTCACACACCGAACCTCCCCCGGCCACGCACACGGCCCAGTGTGGCTGTGCACTTGGCAGCTGACATCTGGAAAAGGCGGAGCCTGGGCCCTGGTGGCAACCACCCAGTGTGCCACCCGTCCACCCCAGGGCTGCGCTCCAGGGCTGCTGCTACTTTGCCTTTCACTCTTCCCACCCCCAGCTGGGAAGGGGAGCCAGGCAACATGGAAGGAGGTCAGGGTGATAAAGGGCGGGCCTCCTGCTGAGCTGCCGTTGACTCACCGGCAGGGAGCCTAGGGGTGCTGTGGCTGGGGTGGAGTATGAGGATGAGACAGAAGCCACCAGAAGTCACAGCCGGATCTTACTTAGGCTGACTGAGCCGGGAGTTCTCTCTGATAGCCATCCTGACAGGGGTCGGTAGCATCCCCAAAAACCCCCAGCCAGGAAAGGATAATGACCCCATGCCACCAAGCCTGGGGAGAGATTCAACATGGGCAAACAGTCTTCCAGGTTCCACTCCCCCATCCTCACTGTGTGTGCCCTTCTCCATCGGGACCCAGTCCTGCAGACTTCCCTTTCTTTCCGGCATGGAAAGCCAAGTGCAAAGGCAAGGTCCTTATCAGCAGTGGAACCCAAGGACATAATCTGGGGTTCAAGCTGGGAGCATCAGGTACTGGTTCCTCCGGAACCCAGAGGAAAAGCCAGCATTCTTTGAAATGGCAGAAGCCACCAAAAGTCATCCTGCCCGTATGAGAACAACAGACTGAAATTGCACTAACAAATCCAGAAAGACACATCACACAGTAATTTGGGAGAATGAGGTGAATTAAGACAGGTGAGTGGAACATCTGGAACAATGCCTGGTGTATACAGTAATTGCTCAAAATGCGCTTGCTCTCACAGATGGGAAACACGCAAAGAGGCGGACTGGTGTGCTCAACGCGGCAGAGAGAAAAGGAAACACCAAAGTGTCCCGATTCCTGCCTCATTCAGGGCTCAGGTATGTTAAATCCTTTCTGAGATACAGATGAGGGTCTAAATTAAAGAGTTTGGCGCCTAAATAGGTCTCACCACTCTTTCGGAAAGCAGAGTAAATAGAGAAATTAGATTCCCGCCTTCCTACCTGCTACAGCCAGAAAGATTGGACCCTCTTTGTGAGTTTACAGCCACAAGGCAGGAAACCAGATGAACCTCTGCTCCTACCCATGAAACCCCTTGCTAAGATCAACAAGTTCCATAAGAGAAAAGCTTCTCCGCGCCATTAGTCACTCCTCCTCCTCTCTCCCAACACCTCCAGGTAAGCTCATGGTGAGGAAATGTCAGCTTCTCCCTAGTGCCCACCAATATCCCAACCACCAACCTTCCTGGAATTCCGGTGGCCTCTTCCTGTTCACATGGGGCACCCCACATTGTAGGGGCTTAGACCATGTCATCCCCAAACATGCCACTTTGGCATACTGATCGTTTTGAATTAAAGGTATTGGAGAAACAGCCTCGCAGGAAGGACACTCTGCACTTCCTTTGTCCCCTGGACAGCAGGAGATAAATCGCGTCTGTGAAAGGTACTCCTCCCCGTATAGGGCGGGGGTGGGGTGGGAGGGTGGGGAGGACAGAAGGCATCCTTATCGCCAGATGGGGAATTTAGGGCCAAGAAGGCCACGAAAACAAACCTTTTTACTTCACCATTTTACTACCCCAAGCTCGAACCCCTGTTTTGTTAATCCTTCATACATTTATTGTTTCTCTGTCTAAAAAGTATAAAGCTTCCTGCTTTGGTGACATCTTTGAATCTCATATTTTTGTGGGGCTCCCATCCTTTAGTAATTTAATTTGTTTTTCTCCTGTTAACCTGTCTTTTATCTTTGGGTGGATGGGGGGAGGGTTCTCAGCCAAGAATCTAGAATTATTCCTCCTGCCCTACAGGATTTTTAGGGGCGAGCAGATGAGATGTGGAGTAGAGTGGAGAACACGAATGCTACAGTCAGTAAAAGAGGCAACTAACAAGAAAAAAAAAAAAAACAAAAAACCCAGCTAAATGTTTTTCATTCTTTTAGGAAAAACAGGAGGACTCTGGAAAATAATCTTCCTCAAAGGGGAGAGATAGTTTCCCTAGTTCTTCATATAATCCCTCCATGGCTTTGTCTCCTTGATCTTTTACTCTCCAGGCGCTCAGACGAGGGAGTCTACTTACAGGAACGTCTGGCCCCTGCTTTCCTGCCATCTTCACATATTTCCATTAATCTTCGAGACTCTCACCCCCCATTAATTCAAAAAGTGGCTCATCTGTAGTTAAAAAGCAAAGTTAATTAGAATCTGGAGTTTCTTTTTTTCCTTTGGCCAATTCCCCAAGCTTAGACCAAAGTCTGTGTTAATTGAGGCTTTCTGAGTTTGTGACCTGGGGTGGGGAGGGGAGCAGCAGAGGGAAAAAATGATGCTGGTGTCCACAGTGCAAGATCTTTCCGGTGTATACCAAAAGCACTCAATGCTTGCAGGGACTCTCTGGCCACAGGTAGGAGCATGAGCCCCGGCATTAGATCTGGGTTTGGAAGAGTTTTCTAACCACTCCAGAGCTGTTTCCTCATCTGTAAAAGCAGGTGACTGCACACAGTGCCCAGCTCAGCCAGCGAGGGCAAATATCGACGGCACAGCCTCTGGGGGGGTGGGGGGGCTCCTAGCCGGACCTCGAAGCCGAGCGTCCCACGACACGCTGCGTTCTGCCACCGTTTCCTGGACTCTGAGGTCTCTCCAGTTCCAGAACGGGATCTTCGTGGGAGGATGCCACGTCTTAGACTTCTTTGTATCTTTTATAGAAGGAAAGCTATTCCTTGTTTGTGGAGATCAACTGTGACTCTGTCCTGGGAGAAATTAGGGGAAGGGGATAAATGGGACCAACAGGGCGTTCACTGTGTGAGTCACACATGGAGGCTCCTGGAAGATACCCCAGGGACTCAGGAAATGATCGGCCGGGTGCTCCGGGCTGCTCCGTGCGAGGTTTCTAAAGCTTTTAAATGTGTTTGAGCCTAAAACTGCTTCTCACAACAGAGATTCCCACTACCTCGGGGTACGAGGCTCAGTTTTTTTTAATGCATGATATCTGCCCCTCTTAACAAGACCTGATCCTGCCCCTCAAGACAGTCTCATGGGGGTGGGGCGCCTGGGTGGCTCAGTGGGTTAAAGCCTCTGCCTTCAGCTCGGGTCATGATCCCAGGGTGCTGGGATCGAGCCCCGCATTGGGCTCTCTGCTCGGCAGGGAGCCTGCTTCCTCCTCTCTCTCTGCCTGCTTCTTTGCCTATTTGTGATCTCTGTCAAATAAATAAATAAAATCTTTAAAAAAAAAAAAAAAAAAGACAGTCTCATGGGCCATCTGGGAAAGAAGGTGCCTCCGGCGACTCCTGAGATGGTGTGACCCCGGGCCAAGGTGGGAAGTGTCAGACCCACTAGGACGGGTCCTGGGGACGGTTGTAGTCCACATCCTTCTTGACAACACCAACGAAAGGAAATCCCAAAGCTGGCCCATCCATGTGATAGAAATGCACACAGAATTCACAGATTCCTGGAAAATCATCTGTAAAATTATTCTGTGTGAAGCGGATGATCAGGCAGCCCCAAGCGCAGCGTGTGTCGTAATGACGGGCTCCGCTCCCTGGTTACACACAGAGAGCGGGGAAGGGTGCAGGAGGACTGAGAGGAGCGTGGAACTAGGGAACTCACGTTCAGGGTCCTTCAGAGGTGGCCTGGCGGGCCCTTCACGAGCAGGCACTGGGCGCTGGTTAGGACGAGGGCCATTTTCCATATGAAACCACATCCGGTCACTTCCTCCCCTGGGTATTCACGCCTCTTTGCAGGAGAGCAGGATTGCTGCGTGTGACCAGAAGAATCGGGCAGAGTGATGGCGCATCACCTTCAAGATTAGATTCACAGGGGGTGCCTGGTGGCTCAGTGGGTTATAAGCCTCTGCCTTCGGCTCAGGTCATGATCCCAGGGTCCTGGGATCGAGCCCCACATCAGGCTCTCTGCTCAACGGGGAGCCTACTTCCTCCTCTCTCTCTGCCTGCCTCTCTACCTACTTACGGTCCCTCTCTCTCTCTTTTTCTCTGTCCAATAAATACATAAAATCTTAAAAAAAAAAAAAAGATTAGGTTCACAGAAACTGAGGGCTTTGGCCCTGTACGCTTTGTCTCTCTCAACTCTCACTATGAGTTAAGCCGGCCACCATGCTGGAAGGACACTCAAGCTGCCTTGGGAAGAAGCCCTGACAAGCAGGACATCCCTGAGACCTGCCACAACCAGCTCCGGACACCTGCAGCCCCGGCCCCTGCCAGATTCTGGACCCATAGCAACTGCCCGATGGTAATCAGTGTTTGTTGTTTAAGCTGCCCAGTGTTGGCACCATTTTGTTACCCAGCAGGAGATGACGGATACACCATCCACGGCTGCTGTGTTCCTTGCCGCGTGGCCCAGCACCTGCTCCAGTACGGCAGATGCCCCATCAGTACTTGGGACGGAGCAAACGATCGGTGCAAACAAGCCCTCTACTGTAACTGTATGAGTCAGACGTGTTTCTGAAGAAGAGGCCACAGGCTGAGTGAAAGAAACTGGCCACAAAAGACCACATCCTGTGTGATTTCATTTACTCAAAATGTCCAGAATAGGCAAGTCCATGAGATAGAAAGTAGCTTCCTGGTCGCCGAGGGCTGGGAAGACTGAGGAGAAGCGGGGAGTGACTGCGAGCGGGTTTGGGGTTTCTTTGCGGAGTGAGGAGGCCGTTCTAAAACCGATTGTGGTGATGGTTGTTCAACTCTGTAAACAGAGGAAAGCCACGGAACCGTGCGCATGAAGCGACATATAAAGCTTGTTTTATTAAAAAAGGAGGAGCTCAGGCTCCCGCCCCAAGTACTGGGCGGCACCCAGGGAGGCCGGCCACCAGCGAGGCTGCGGAAAGAAGTAGAGGGCTCTCCCTCTGCCCGGGGCGGAGGCCATGGTGCGAAGCACAGCGAACCAACGCCTCGGGTGCCGTGGTGTGGGATGCTCGGCTCCAGCACCCGAAACTTGGCAAAAGGAAGTTTGCGGGTTGACCTTCCAGGGAGACCCCGCCTGGAGCCTAACATGCTGAGCCTGGACATGGCCCTGACTTCCCATCCTCCGCAGAGGACGCCCCCAACCCCGATGTGCACCCACCTCTCCCAGGCCCTTCCACCTGCCAAGCCTAGGGAGGACCACAAAACCACAGGCGGCAACTGTCCCAAAGGTCAGCGAGCCTCGTGAGTGAGCTGACCTTACAGCAGAGAGTCACTAAATGATTCGGGTCACTCAGTCCTTGCTGAACGTCCTCCAAAAGGAGCAGCGAATTTAAGACAACAGAAAGGATTTAAACAGCGTAGAGTAAACTTGTACATGGCACATAAGAGGTGGTCAAGGCTGAAAGCAGAAGCAGCTTCAAAGCAAACTTTTTTTTTTCTTAGAGAGCGGTAAGGGCAGGTAGGAAAAGGGAGAGAGAATCTGAAGCAGGTTCCATGCCCTGCGTGGAGCTGTATGTGGGGCTCGATCTCAGGACCCAGAGATTATGACCTGAGCTGAAATCCAGAGTTGGATGCTTTAACTGACTGAGCCACCCAGGTGCCCCTCAAAGCAGACTTTGAACAAGTTGTCAAACATATTTTAAGTTGGAATCTTTTGTCCCTCCCTGGCCTGTGACATTGCTTTTGGAGACAGCATCCCATAATGCAGAGAAGCCAGCGGTTGGACCCAAACAGTCCTTCGGTGCACCCTAATGAGGCTGGGATGAACTTGGGGGGACACCCAGGAACCCCCTGACATTATTCTGTAAGAGACTTTCTCTGGGGGAGAGGTCCGTGTCTTTAGCAGATTTTCAAAAGGATTTAAGACCTGAAAAAGATGAGGGACCACTGGGTGGTTGGAGTTTTCTAGGATGGGTAGATGGTGGATTTCTTTTCCTTTGGCAAATCTGTATTTTACAGACTTTTCTTAAGTAGCTTGCACTGACCCTATACAATTAAAAATACTCAGCATACATGCATACACACATTTATAAAACACAACACGTATATTAAAAATATCCACGGGCAAGATCCCAGCCTGTAATTCCCAGAAGATTGCCCCAAAATCAAGACCCCCAATTAATTAGTATCTTTTAAAACTGCAAATTCCGGGGCACCTGGGTGGCTCAGTGGGTTAAGCCGCTGCCTTCGGCTCAGGTCATGATCTCAGGGTCCTGGGATCGAGTCCCGCGTCGGGCTCTCTGCTCAGCAGGGAGCCTGCTTCCCTCTCTCTCTCTCTCTCTCTGCCTGCCTCTCCGTCTACTTGTGATCTCTCTCTGTCAAATAAATAAATAAAATCTTTAAAAAAAATAAAATAAAATAAAACTGCAAATTCCACTTCCCTTTCCTGTCCCGACCCCCTAAGCTAATCTCTCTCTCTCTCTCTCTCTCACACACACACACACACACACACACACACACACACACACGGTGGCAGCAGAGATGGGTCCCCTTCTCAAGGATCTCAGCTAAGTGGCAGTTTACCCCCTTCTCCTGGGGTCTGACTCTGCCGCTGGCCGTCTACCCAGGCACTCAACACTCCAGTTCTCCATCTGGCCATGGGCTTTCATGTCCTTCTCCCCTCCTGTTCTTGCGAGACCCTACTCGTTCTGGGGATTACACACAGGGCTCCGAGCACCTCCCTCCATCATCCATCACTGGGTTGGTCTCTCCTTGGCAAGTGCCCTTGTGTCACCACCTTCCCCTCCCACAGCAGGTAGGTATCCAGGCCCCCTCTGCCCCGGGAGCTTCTGGGATACATTCAGACTCCGTCCAGCCTTGCGCGCGGTTTATCTGGGCAGAGCCCATCACCAGGCTCCTGCCATCAGCCGGCAAAGCACAGGTGCCTTCTGTCTCTTTTCTCATTTATTTGTCACGCCAAGACCCGAAGGCAGGCTCCGTTTTGTAAAGGAGGAAAGCGGGGCTCAAGGAGGTTACGGCTGCACGACTCCTGAATGAGAGGCAGATTCGGACCCAGGCTGACCCCTGAGGCTGCTGTCACTGCTGGGCCACATGCTTCTCCTGGGTCAGTGCAAAGGAAATGGACTGGGGCCACTGGCTGCAGAGACACCTGAGCCTGCTGCTCTGTTTGTCATCCGCCAGCTTGAGGACTCTCGGACCGACTTCCTGCAAAAGGTTCAAGAGCTGGGCAAGGAGGGGGTTGAGATTTCAGATGCCAGGCCCCGCTTCCTCGGGACAGAGGGGGAGAATGGGCACTACCCTGGGCAGACGGGGCGGGGCGGGGTTCAGAAGCCACACTCTCCTGACCTCCCTCACTGTAGAGGACCAGAGCCCAGGATGCCAGCTCTCCCAGAGACACAGGACCAGAAAGAACAGGGAAAGCGGCTTGGAGCCCAAGAAAAGTCCTCGGGGTGGAGGGGACGGGTGAGAATGCGCTGGGAAGCCCCCCCTGCATAGCCAAGGACTCCCGGAGGCCCCGCCCCTCCTCCTGTCCGGCGTCCAGATCCCCCCACCCCCACCCCAACCAAGTGCTCGCTCCCAAACGCAGCCACGTTTGGGGACGGGCCACACAGGGGTGAGGAACGGGTCCTGCCACTTCCTAGCTGGGCAAGACCAAAGTAAGTTACTAAGTGTTTCTGTGCCTCAGTTTCCCCTTCTATAAAGCAGTGATCACAACAGTACTTACGAGAATAAATCGGCATTTTCAAAGTACCCACAACGCCTCCTAGCACAGAGCCGGTGCTAAGAAGGTGTTTGTTGCCATTATCATTATCAAAGAAAGAGGCCGGTTAACAAAAGGTGGCGATTCTTAGCTGGGTATTGGGGAACTCCGAAGTGTGAATGCTCGCTGATGGGCTCCACAGAAAAAGAAACTGGTTCTGGCTGCTTCCCCTCTAGAGCTGTGGTGCCCTGGTCCCTGCTCGGCAATTCCTCCCATCCCTCCGCCTCACCCGACCTCTCCCCAGCAGACTTAGGGGGGAATGTGCTCCCCACTCCTTCTCCCACTCATCTGGCCGAGGGCCTGAGCATGCCGACCACTGGGGCCAGCAGGCTTCTCCTGGGGACCCCGGTCCCTGCCCACTAACAAGAACTGGCTGGGCTCGCTTGGGCCCACGGAAGCTCACGACCCTTGTTCACCTTAGTAATTACATGACACAGAAGAGGAAAAGCAGATGAAATATGGGTATGTAAAGAAAGAGCTGTTTCCATGACAACGAAGCAGAATGCTTTAGAAACCCAATGAAGAGAAGTCACAAAAACAAACTTTCCATTGCAGCAGAACGGCCAAGGCACGAAAGACTGGGGGGGCGGGGAGGAGCAGAGTTCACAGGGACTGTCCCCTGCAGGGGGCCTTCTGCAGCAGCGACAAGCCAGCTCAGGCTGAAGCCCTTGGCCTTACGTCTGTGCATCAGTGAACCAACGGACATGTATGCATTTTTGGTCAAAATGTCTGGATTTAAGGGATAACATTTTATTTTAGTTCTTTTTTAGGTACATTCTACCCAAGGTGGGGCTTGAACTCATAACCCCAAGATCAAGACCTGAGCCGATACGGAGTCGGAGGTTTAACCGATGGAGCCACCCAGGTGCCCCTCAATTTGAGGGGTAGCATTTTAATATTCTCTACACCAATCAGAGTTTAGGCGACTTGACCAGTGAATCGCATAGGGAAACGGGGCTCCTATTAAACCGTGCGTGTCTGGTCACGATAGCAGCCCTCACGCTGCTTTGCCCCGATCCACGCTTTCAAACTATGGTGGGAGACGCTGTCCTGGGAGTAGCGGAAGCCA